GAATCCATCCTTATGCTGCATACATGAAACATACCTCAACCTCATAGACAGACATTACCTCAGAATAAAGGGTTGGAAAAAAATTTTCCAATCAAATAGACCTAAGAAACATGCTGGTGTACCTAGTCTAATATCTAACAAAATAGACTGCAAACTAAATCAAAAAAGATAAAGAAGGGTATTTCATGTTTTCACAGAAAATCCATCAGCAAGAAATCTCAATTCTGAACATTTATTCCTCAAACACAAGGACTCCTGCATTTGTAAAAGAAACATTACTAAAGCTTGAATTACAAATCAAACCCCACACACTCATAGTGGGAGACTTCAACACCCCACTCGCGCCATTGGACAGGTCTGCCAGACAGAAGCTTAAGAGAGAATTTAGGGAAGTAGCATGTTATCACTCCAGTGGACTTACCAGACATCTATAGACTAGTCCACCCAAGCACAAAAGAATATACTTTCTTTTCAGCAGCTCATGGAACCTAAAAAAATAGACCACACACTAGGTAAAAAAGCAAACCTCAACAGCTACAAGAAAATTGGAATAAATCCCAGACCCTATCAGATCACCACCGCTTAAAGATAGAATTCAACAGCCCACCATCACATGGAAATTGAACAATGATCAACTCAACCACCACTAGGTCAAGGAAGAAATCAAGAAATAAAAGACTTCCTAAAATATACTGAAAAAGACTGCACAACATACCCAAACCTATGGGACACAATGAAAGCTGTGCTAAGAGGAAAGTTCATAGCACTAAATGCCTACATAAAGAAGCTGGAAAAATCTCACACTAGTGAATTAACAGAACAACCGAAAGTGCTAGAACAAAAAGACACAAACTCATCCAAAAGGAATAGATGGCAAGAAATAGTCAAATTGAGGGCTGGAATCAATAAAATAGAAACAAAGAAAGCCGTGCAAAGAATCAATGAGACAAAGGGTTAGTTCTTTGAGAAAGTCAATAAAATAAACCTTTATGCAAACTACCAAGAGACAGAGAATATCCAAATTAACAAAATCAGAAACAAAACGGGGGACATAACATAGTGAAAAAAATCCAGAGAATCATCATCTCATACTTCAAAACCCTGTACTCCACAAAATTGGAAAACTTAAAGAGATGGACAATTTTCTAGATAAGTATCACATACCAAAATTAAACTAAGAACAGATAAACAGCTTAAATACACCTATAACCCCTAAGGAAATAGGAAATTATCAACAGTCTCCCAACCCCAAAAAAGCCAAGGCCCAAATGGATTCAGTGCAAAATTCTACCAGATATTCAGAGATCTAATACCGATACTCTTCAAATTATTCCACACACTAGAAACAGAAGGAACATTGCCAAACTCTTTTTATGAGGTTGCAGTAAACCCTGATATCCAAACCACACAGAGATGCAACTAAGAAAGAGAATTATAGACCAATCTCCCTCATGAACATAGATGCAAAGATACTCAATGAAATACTGGCAAACTAAATCCAAGAACACGTCAGAAAAATCACCCACCATGACCAAGTGGGATTCGTCCCAGAGATGCAGGGATGGTTGAGCATATGAAAATCCATCAATGCAATCCACCTTATAAGCACACTGAAAGAAAAAACCCATATGATCATCTCACTAGATGCTGAAAAAGCCTTTGATGAAATTCAGCACCCCTTCATGATAAAGGTCTTGGAGAAAATAGGGATACCAGGTACATACCTAAACATAATAAAGGCAATATATAGTAACCCAACAGCCAACATGGAAAGAAACTCTAAGCAAGCCCACTGAAATCAGGAAGAAGACAAGGCTGCCCACTCTATCCACATCTATCCAACATACTTGAAGTTCTAGCTAGAGCAATGAGAGAACAAAAGGAGATCAAAGGGATACAAATTGGAAAAGAAGCCAAGCTCTCACTATTTACTGATGATATGATAGTTTACATAAGTGATCCCCCAATTTTTTTCTTTTTGGTTTTTACGAGACAGGGTTTCTCTATTGTTTTGGAGGCTATTGGTCCAGCCCAGCCTCGAACTCACAGAGATCTGCCTGCCTCTGCCTCCCGAGTGCTGGGATTAAAGGCGTGCGCCACCACCGCCCGGCTTGTGACCCCAAAAATTGTACCAGAGAACTCCTACAACTGATAATCACCTTCAGTAATGTTGCAGGATACAAAATTATCTCAAAAAAGCCAGTAGCCCTCCTATAAGGTATAAGGGGCTGAGAAGGAAATCAGAGAAACATCACCATTTACAATAGCCACAAATAACATAAAATATCTTGAGGTAGCTCTAACCAAACAAGTGATAGGCTTGTATGACAAGAACCTTAAGTCTCTAAAGGAAGAAATTAAAGAAGATATCAGATCTCCCATGCTTTTGGGTAGGTAGGATCAGCATAGTAGAAATGGCAATCCTACCAAAAGAAATCTATAGATTCAATGCAGTCCCTATCAAAATCCCAGCACAAGTCTTCACAGACCTTGAAAGAACAATAATCAACTTCATATGGAAAAACAAAAGACCCAGGATAGCCGAAACATTCCTGTACAATCGAGGATCATCTAGGGGCATCACCATCCCTGACTTCAAGCTCTACTCGAGAGCTATAGTAATGAAACAACTTGGCATTGGCATAAAAACAGACAGGTGGACCAATGGAATTGAGTCGAAAACCCTGATGTCAACCCACACACTTATGAACACCTAATTTTTGACAAAGAAGCTAAAAATATAAAAAAGTACTAAACAAATGGTGCTGTCATAACTGGTTGTCAAAATGTGGAAGAAGGCAAATAGATCCATGTCTATCACCATACACAAAGTCAAGTCCAAATGGATCAAAGACCTCAATATAAATCCATCCACACTGAAGCTGGTAGAAGAGACAGAGGGAAATACACTTGATCACATAGGCACAGGAGACCCCTTCCTACACAGACACTGAGAGCATCAATTAATGAATGGGACCTCCTGATACTGAGAAACTTCTGTAAAGCAAAGAACATAGTCAACAAGACAAAATGGATCCCTATAGAATGGGAAATGATATTTACAAACCCCACATCTGATAGAAGGCTGATCTTCAAAATATACAAAGAACTCAAGAAGCTGAACCTCAAAACTACCAAATAGTCCAATTAAAAAATGGACTAAACAGAATTCTCAACAGAAAAATCTCAAATGACAGAAAGACACTTAAGGAAATGCTCAACATCCTTAGTCATCAGGGAACTGGAAACCACTCTGAGATTCCATCTTACACAGCTCAGAATGGCTAAGATCAAAATCATTGACAACTTATGCTGGAGAGACTGTGGAGAAAGGGGAACACTCCTCCACTGCTGGTAGGAGTGCAAACTTGTACATCCAGTGTGGAAATCAGTATGGCAATTTCTCAGGAAATTGGGGATCACCTATCTCAAGACCCTGCAATACTGCTGTTGAGCATATAAGCAAAGGAGGCACATTCACATCACAAGAACATTTGCTCAACTATGTTCACAGCAACATTATTTGTAATAGCCAGATCTTGGAAGCAATCTAGATCCCCCTCAACTGAAGAATGGATAAAGAAAATATGGTACATTTACACAATGGATTACTATTCTGCAGTAAGAAACAATGGCATCCTAAAATTCACAGACAAATAGAAGTAGAAAAAATCATCCTAAGGGAGGTAACCCCAAACCAGGAAGACAGATACAATATGTACTCAATCATAAGTGGATATGAGACATAAAACAAAAGATACCCAGCCTACAATCCACAACCCCAGAGAAGCTAGAACCCTCTTCTAGAAACAGATGGAAGCAGATGCAGAAATCCACAACTAACCAATGGGCCAAGCTCCTGGAGTTCAATCGAAGTGAGGGAGGAGCGATAATATGAACAAAGGAGTCAAGACCATGATGGGGAAACCCACAGAATCAGCTGACACGAGCTAGTGAGAGATCACTGACTCAGGTCTGACAAATGAGGAACCTGCATAAGATTGAACTAGAGTCCCTTAATATAGGTGACAATGATGTGGCTGGGACAATATATGAGGCCACTGGCAGTGGGTCCAAGATCTAACTCTAATGCACAAACTGACTTAGTGGAGCCCGTTTTATATGGAGAGACACCTTGCCCAGCCTAGACACAGGTGTGGGAGTGAAGAGCCGCCTTGGTCCTGCCTCAGCGAGATGATGGGACAGACTTAGTAGACTTCCTAGGGGAGGCCTTACCCTCTCCAAGGGGTGGAGAGTGTGTGGGGGGAGTGGGTGGAGATGAGGGAGGGGGAACTGGGATTGGAATGTAAATAAATTAAGAAAGAAAAAACACTTTCCACAGTTTCCTGGATAGTGTTACAGTTTTGATACGAAGATATAAATTTTACTCCCTTTTTTGTGTGTGTGTCACATGAGGGCTCAGCTAGCCCGCCGTCATAGTAGATTTGTTTTTGGTGGTTCTACAATGCCGATTGCACACTTGTCCTTCCTTTTGAGTTCATTCCTTACATCTGAGAGAGACTTGTAGGGCACCGTACTGTACTTCAGTCAGAAAAAAACATGAAGCTGGGCACGTGATGAAGCCTGTGACATTGGCACTTAAGTTGAGGCAGAAGGCCAGTCTGCACTACACATGGAGACCCTGTTGCTCCTCTCCCCAATGAAGGAAACACTTGAGTTACTCCAGACAGTCTCTAATACTAACATTTATGATTTCCTCAGTGACATTTAAGACATGAGAACTCATGAAGTAGAGTCATCAGGAATGTTCAGTAAGTAGACTTGCCACCAAGCCTACTGACCTGAGTTCAGTCCTTGAGACACACAGGGCCGAAGGACCTCCACATGCCTGCCTGCCTGCCCAGCCCTCATCCCCACAAGTCAATACTTGCTGTGTGAAAATGAATACAGTAGTAACGTCATGCCCTAGGATACACAGGTGCGCTTGCTTCCCTGGGTGCCGCTTGTGCTTTGAATATAACACTCTGTGTTTTCTCTAGATGACCGCCTGCGGAAGGACACGGAGCTGAGCACCGTGACTGAAGAGCAGAGTGCTGCTGCACAGCCACTCAGTAGATGACACATGCAGCCGGCAGGCTTCTGACCGCAGCTGTGCATGAGGGTCACTAGCTCCTTACTCCCAGCACCATCGCCTAGACCACTGTAGCACGGGAGCCTCTCTGTATTCTGCCCCTCAAGGGTTACTGCGTCTGTGAAAAGCTGATGCCAGAAGCCACTGGAGAGAAAAAAATGTGTTGTTTTCAGGATTTCTTTTCTTTTCTTTTTTTAAGACAGGGTTTCTCTCTGGCTTTGGCGGCTGTCCTGGAACTCGCTCTGTAGACCAGGCTGGTCTCGACCTCACGGAGATTCATCTGCCTCTGCCTCCCGAGGGCTGGGATTAAAAGTGTGTGGCGCCAGCATCACCTGGCCTAAAGTTGTTAAGTTTATTTTTTGCCCCTTTGTGCAAAGGCCACCTCTAGGGCTGTGGATACGCCTCCAGTAAAGCACTTGCCTTAAATATGTAAGACCCTGGGTTCAGTCCTAGCCCTGGAGAAAAGAAAACAGAAGTACAGATATTTGTCTATATGCTCTGCTCATTGAATTTCCTTCAGCTAGACTTATGTAGACCTGTGGGAAAATTCATTCATGTTTTGAAAAAATATTTAAAGTACATTAACACCAGAACTTATTCTATGAAGTTTTGGTTTTTGTTGTTGTTTTTTTTTGTTTGTTTGTTTGTTTTTAAGAAATGTCTGAATTACTGTCTGCCCTGGCTAATTTTGTCTCAGCTTGACACAAGCTGGGGTCATTTGGGAAGAGGATCTCTCAACTGACAAAAATCCCTCTATTTGATTGACTTTTGGGCAAGTCTTGTTCATTTCCTCACTAATGTTTTCATCTGGGAGGTTCCAGCCCATAGTGGGTGATGTCACCCCTGGGCAGTTGGTCCTGGGTTCAGAAAAAAAAAACAGGTTGAGCAAGCCATGGGGAGCAAGTCAGTATGTAGCAGGCCTGTGGTGTTTCCCTGAGTTCACTCGGTGGTGGCCGTGATGTGGAGCTGTCAATTGAAATAAACCTTCTCCTTCCCAGGTTGCTGATGGTCATGGTGAAAACCACTGCCTAATGTTGATCTTTAAACAAATAGCAATGCTCTGTCCCCAAGAAGAGAGTTTGGCTTCTACTAGGGGATTTCATGATAAAATAAAGGGGCAAATAATTCTTTTATTTTGCTTTAAGTGAAGCAGAGTTTATTCATTATATAAGGAGTGTAATCCTGACAGGACAGGCTTTGGGAGAAGAGCCAGGTAGGAACTGTACTGGAGGCCTTGTCAGAGCTCTGTGGAGGTCCCTTCTGCACACACTGAGCTGCAGAGCTACCGTCTTTTGCTTACCTGGACTCTGAGAGACTTGGTAAACATGTGTTTTTATTCTTGGGATAGGAAAACCTTGAGAACTGCTACAATTCTGTCTCTAAATGCTACTTAGCTGTTTATCAAGATGTCCTGTGTAGCCACAGGCTCATTCATGGAACACAGTTGTTACCCCAGTGGCTCCTCCTGGCCAGAGTGCCACAGTGTAAGAGTCACAGTTTATCACAGATAAGCGAGCATGGGGACACCGCTTAGCAATGCAAAGCCAAGTGTGTACCACAGGAAGGGCTGGGGGCTGCTACCAGTGGCGTTGGTGATTTGGATTGTTGCCAGTTTGAGTTGTTTCGGTGGTTCCAGTCATCGACTCCTCAAAGATGGATTGAGAACATTACTGCTAATACAGAACGTGATGAAGAAAACCCCTTATAGTGGTCTTTACCACACTAAAATGCTTAAAAACCATAACTGTAGAATCTTACAGGAGCCCATTTCCATTTTTTCCTTTCAATGTAAAAATATTAATGTGTGTAGAATATGTTTCCTGTTGATCATCCTTACTGTTCTTTAAGCAAAGAGAATAGGGTGATGCTCTTAACACTGAAAGCTACGGGTAGATTGCTGACACATGCAGGGGCTGCTCCTGTAGAGAGCATGCGCCAGTGCGTGCATGTGTGCGTGGGTGCCTGCGTGCGTGAAAAGCTCGCAGGCATGGGACAGGTGCCTGGGCAGCAGCCCAGGCATAGTACTGACGGGGCTTTGTTTTCTTCTCTTTTATCAGAGAACATGGGCACAGTTCCTTGTTAGGGTGGCAAACGGAAGTGCCCTCGTGCCTCATAACTGATGACCTCCAATGAAGACACATAGGAATTGGTCATTTACTATACTGGCAATTGAAGTCTTGGGTGCATGAAGCATCTGGTGTTAGAAATTGAAGCCCTTTCAGTTGGAGTGTATTGTGTCCATATTCTTCTCTGTACTTTGCAAGCATGGTGTATGTCCTGTTGAGTTGGCTGAGTCAGGACGTGTAATGGCCGCCTCTTCTGCTGTGTTGTCTTTGTCAGTTTTACAGTCTTGAAGCGCCATTCTGCAGTTTTGGTTTTCCCAGGTAATAGTAATTATTTCAGGGTTAGCCTGGAGGTTTTCCTTGTTTGCATGAATCCTCCAATGATTTCTTACAAATTCAGTTTTTCTCTTTTTAGGATGTTATTTTTATGTACATGAGGTTTTCCTGCTTGTATGTCTGTGCACCCTGTGCATACAGTACCCACAGAGGCCACAAGAGGGTGTCAGGTCTCCTGGAACTGGAGTTACAGGCAGTTGGGAGCCACCCACCTTGTGGGTGCCGGAAACTGGTTCCAGGTCCTCTGCAAGAGCAGCTGGTGCTCTTCATCTCTGAGCCCTCTCTCCAGCCCCGGTTAACTCTTTGTTAATGCTTCAGTGTAGACTATGTGCTTATGGGCACTGTCCCTTCCATAGGCTGAGTCCTGCCAGCATCACGTTAGAGATTTAGAGGATGCTTTCAATAGGACTTGTCATTGGTTCAGTATGGACAACACAGATCCAATATTTAACAATTGTTTTGTCGTCTTGAGCATTTATTGTCACGTCAGACAGTGGCTGTTGTTCTTGGGGCAGCCTAATTGAACAGCATCTGGTGTAGAACAGGCGGGGTTTCTGAAACCCTTGTTTATGGGTGTGCGCATGTTACTGTGGGTAGTATGGTGGGGGTCACGGTCATAGCTTAGGCTGTAACCCTTCTGCTGTTTACAGGCCGAGGCTTTGCGGCTGTGGAGATTATCCAGGAAGTTCCTTTATTGTTACAGAGTTCTGGCTCTTAACCCTAACAAAGCAGCCATGACCAAAACTGCATGTGCTCCTCGGGCTTCCTGCAGTCATTCTCTCTGTTGCTTCCTCTTGAGGAGAAGCTGAACATTATCTGACTTTGGAAATAATTTGTTTTAATTGGTAGTGTCTGCAATCTGATGATCATCCTCAAAGTTATTCCTAAATTGGTTAACTCATTAGAAGATTTACAGAAGTAAATGTTTTCCTGTTGTGTTATTTTTGATATCTATAAGATTTCTGATATTCCTTTTAAACATACTTATTTTAGGTGTGTGTGTACATGTGTGTGCATAGGTGTTCATGTGTGTAGGCATGCATGTGTGTACATGTGTGTGCATGCATGTGTGTAGGTGCAGCGGTGCTGGATCCCCTGGAGCTTGAAGCACAGGCTGTTGTGAGCAGCAGCCAGTCTTACCTGAGCTGTCTTTCCAACCTCAGTACTCTCTCCCTTCCTTGCTCGCTCTCTCTCTCTCTCTCTCTCTCTCTCTCTCTCTCTCTCTCTCTCTCTCTCTCTCTCTCTCTCTCTCTGTCTCCACCCTCTCTCTCCTCCCTTTCTCTCCTCCCTGTTATCTCTGTAGCTCTGGCCATTCTCAAACTCAACAGAAATCCCCCTGCCTCTACAACACCTCTCACAATACCAGGCCCCTGAGTATATTCTTTATTGGAAGTTTTTGTTTTGTGTTTTATAGCTTCTTTCCCCTTTTTGGACGTGGTCTTCAAGTGTCATCACTCTGGCCTCTGGATATCTGGTTTTCCTGTTTGTATGCAAACACTGTTTCTCGTCTTAGCAGTGTCTGTCATCTTTGCTCTTAGAAAATGTGGACTGGTCTCTCCGCATTGGGAGCAGGTGCAGGTCTCTGGACTTGGAGTGCTCATCACAATCTGGGTTCAGAGTGTATCTCTCTCAGCCTAGCACTGCAGACTCACTTAGGCCACCATTTCATTTCTAAATCTGTACTGACTGTAGTTACGAATTCCATTATGTTCCCTGTGCAAATATAAATATCAGATTCTCCCAGAGGACTTGGTTAATATCCAGAGGTGTCAGCTTTGGGTGCTGTGCTACCTCAGGAATTGCAGTCATGTAGGGCCAGACTAAGGCAAAATGTTGGTGCTTATAATTTTGGATATTCATGTGAAATTATCAAGATGGAAGATAAACAGAATTGTCATATGCAGTCCTATGCATTCCTGTGTCTGATTCTAACCTGTCTATGCCTAGAATTGTTACAGGAGTCCTGTGCGTTTCTGTTTCTGATTCTAACCTGTCTATGCCTAGCCTAGAATTGTCACATGAGTGTCTGGTTCTATCCGTCTATGCCTAGAATTGTCACACGAGTCCTGTGCGTTCCTGTGTCTGGCTCTATCAGTCTGTGCCTAGAATTGTCACACGAGTCCTGCACGAGCTGTGCAGAGGCTGTCATGTCACCATCTTGTCACCCAGCGAGGACCCTGGAGCAAGATGATGGGAGCAGGCGCGTGGGCAGCTGGAGACTGAAGGCGGCACGGCACGTGGTTAAACTTGACATCTGCCACCCCTCAGTGTTGCAGCCAGGGTGGGGGTGGGGGACCTGATGTTTGAAAAAAAAAAAGGAAAACATCTATGTTTTCCATCTGTATTTAAAGCATGTGTTACAATTTTTGTTTTTTTAATTATCTAAATAAAGGAGGATTTTGTATTCCCTTTTTAAAAAAATGTATTTGAGTATCTGTTGACTTTATGCCAAAGAGATCCCCCTGTAGATGGTTGTGAGCCACCATGTGGTTGCTGGGACTTGAACTCAGAACCTCTGGAAGAGCAGTCAGTGCTCTTAACCTCTGAGCCATCTCTCCAGCCCAGGGTTTTAAACTCTTAAAAGCTGAGGAAGAGCCAGGTAGTTGTGGTTACCTGTAATCCAGCCAGGTACTTGGGCGGCCCAGGCAGGAGTATTGGTAGTTCTAGGCCATCCCTGGCTGTGTAGCCAGACCCTGTGTCCAAAAAAGAATCAAGGGGCTAGAGATGGATCAGTGGTTAGCACCTTTTGTTCCTTCAGAGGATCTGATGCCCTCTTCTGACCTCTGAGCATGCTCATTCCCATAATACACATAGCTGAAAATAAAAGAAACCCTAAGGATCTCTAAAACAAACAAAAGAAAGGATTGAAGACATTCTACTGTTGCTGTCTCTTCATGTGAGGTTTATGAACACTATCAGCTGTGGCTTTTTTGTTTTTTGTTTTGTTTGTGTTTGCTTGTTTGTTTTTGAGACAAGGTTTCTCTGTAGCTTTGGACCCTGTCCTGGAACTTACTATGTAGATCAGGCTGGCCTCAATCTCAGAGATTCCTCTGCCTCTGCCTCCTGAGTACTGAGATTAAACGCGTGCGCCACCAGCTTCTTAAAAAGGTTTGCAGGCTGGAACATTTGTTTTCAAGACAGGATGTCACAGTGTAAACTAGGCTGGCCCAGAGCTCTTAGATGTGCCTCTGCCTCCCAGAGCGCTGGGACTAAAGGCGTGCACTACCATGCCGGGCTGAGCTGGCACATTTGAAACTCCCAAGAAAGGAAAAGCAGGCGTGTTGAAGGAGACACAAACTCAGAAGACCCAGCAGGCTGTGTAGTGCAGATGCCCAAAGGGCAGATCATCCACTCTCCTCTCCACTAGCCACAGCCTGTCCCACAGGGCTAAGTGACTCTGCCCGTGCACAGCTGGTGCACGCGCGCGCGATGGGGTGGCAGCGCCCGGACGCAATCGCTGCACTGGCGGTTTTCAGGGCTGGTGCGTGGCAGTGGCCGGGCGATGGGATAGGAGCTAGCGTAAGCTACAGTTACTCCCCATACGTGTGTGGTTCTGGTGATTTTGCCCACGGGGGCAAATTATCCTACTCCTGACACCAGAATGTCACTTGGGAACTGAGATTCACCAGGCTCAGTACAGGTTAAATGAGGTTTATTGGGAGAGATTACACTTAAACAAGAGGCTGCCACAGGTTCCAGCTCCAAGGAGCCTCCCAAGCTGTTTCGGTGACCCG